TTCTAGGGTGTTGTTTTGACCTGTTCAAATTTTTTTATTCTCCATATCAATGTTAATAGTTTAATACTAAATTTACTAGTTAATTTTTTTCAGCAGCTTAAAATTTGGCTATTTTAAAAATAATTTATTACAGGACATTCAAATATAATGATTTATAAGTTAGAGTAATAATAGGATTCAAAATTTAGCTTAGCATCCTTGAGTGATGTTGATTCTGATAATTAAAAACAATGAAGGAAAGAAATTTGAGCACCAAAGCACAGACAAAACCAACAAATTTAAAATTGCAAAATGAGGAATTATGACTGTGCTGAACATGCCTTTTGAATCTGAATATACATTGGTAGACTCAAGTTAAGCAGGCATTGTCTTTACAGAACTCTGCTGTGAGAGAAATAGAGTATTCAGTTGTTAAATATTTTCTGAGAATTTAATTTTTTTTGGTTGGTCGTGGGACTTTAACTCTGGGCCTGGGCTCTGTCCTGGAGCTCTTCAGCTTAAGGCAGGCGCTCTACCACATGAGCCAGAGAGCCACTTCCAGTTTTCTGGTTGCTAATTGGAGAAAAGAATCTCATGGACTTTCCTGCCTGGGCTGGCTTTGAACCAAGATCCTCAGAGCTTAGCCTTCTGAGTAGCTAGGATTACAGGTGTAAGCCACTGGTGCCCAGCAAAAATTTTTTATTAAACAACATTCTGAAACGCGTAAAGCAGCTTTAAACCATTTCACATATTTATAAATATGTCTTTTAGGACCCAAGTTTTGTTTTTGTGTGTGTGCTGGTACTGGGGTTTGAACTTGGGATCTTGTGTGTTTGCTTGGATTTTTCACTCATGGCTGGCTCTCTACCACGTGAGTCATGCCTTTCAGGTCTGGCTTTTTGCTGGCTAATTAGAGATAAAAGTCTAATGGGTTTTGTCTTCTCAGGCTGACTTTGAACCACTGTTCTCAGATCTTGGCTTCTTGACTAAGATTATAAGCATGAACTCAAGTGCCCTGCCCATATTCTATCTTTGTTTAAAATCAATAAACTGTAGAAAACTAAGTAGACTTGGCTTCAGATTTCTGCTCAATCATTAGATAGCTGAATGGTTTGAAACTAGTTGAAACTTATTTCTACACCAGTTGTCTCTCTTAAAGTGCAAATTATGTACTGTAAGTTCTCATGGCTTGTGGGATATGTATTTGTGAATTTGCCTACTTGCTAAACTGGTAGTCCCCAAATCAGGACTTAGGCTTTTGTAGACAGGCAGAGTAACTCAGAATTTGAGTTGCTTGGTAAGCCTGTTCCCAGCTGAAATGAAACAAGATGATACTTTACCTCCTTTTTTTTTTGCCTTCCGGTCTTGAGGTTTGAACTTTGGGTCTGGGCTCTGTCCTTGAGCCTCTTTGTGCTCAAAGCTAGCACTTTATTACTTGAGCCACAGTGCCACTTCCGGCTTTTTCTGAGTAGTTTATTGGAGATAAGAGTTTCATGAGAACTTTTCTGCCAGGGCACCATGATCCTCAGATCTCAGCCTCCTGAATAGGTAGGATTACAGTGGTGAGCCACCAGTGCCCTGTCCTTTACCTTCTTTTTTTGTAGCTCTCTTCCTGGAAAACAAGTGTTCCTTTCAGTTTTCAAAGCCATATTTCTCTCAGTTTCCTGCATTGATTGATTGGTTGATTGATTGTTATTTTACTGTTTAAAATGGTCCCCAAGTATCAAGCTTCAGTGTTGTCTTATGTTGAAGACTGTACCTTCCAGAGAAAATACTTGTGGAAGAAGCTTTGACGAGGTTTGATTATACTGCTGATGTCTCTAAGTTTAATGTTAATGATTCAACACAACAAAATAGCTAAAGCATTTAAACATTGACATGAAACAAGAAATAGTGATTAGTTGACAAAAATGTTGGAAGCAAAGACCCCAGGAACCTAACCTCGAGTTACCACGTAAGAGCAGTGACTGAGTATCCATAAATTCAGCATTAATTGCACCTTTATATACAACATGACTACTGCAGGTAATGACCTCAGCTGTGTCAGTCTTTCTGGGAAAGGTACACATACTTAAAACAGATAGTAGCTGCTGTCATTATCTTCATAATAGTAAATTTCATTTGCTTATATTTTGATTAGTTTTTGAGATATGGTCTAGCCATAATATATAATATTTAGATATATAAAAGTAAATACATATATCTTAAACTATATATCATATTTCATATATATTTGATATATATCATATCATATATAGACACACACACATGCACACACATGTTCTCACAGAGTAACGTAGAACTCACCATGTAGTGCAGTCTAGCCTCAAATTTGTCAGCATCCCACTTCTGTTTCCAGAATGCTGTGATGATGGGCCTAATAATTTTTATCAGGATCTTTCCTTAGAACAACTAATTATACACTTGGTCATTTAACATTAGAAAAATCATTTTAAAAAGAAGATGGGATGGAGAAAAATTGGCTTTAAGAAACCCACTAGACACTATGTTGGAAATGAACTATACAACTTTGTTGGGAGGGAAAAACTGGACGAGAATGAGGGAGGGGTTGACACTGTTAGGAAATGTACTCATTACTGTCTCATGTAACTAATCCCTCTGCATGTCACCTTTGCAATAAGTTTTTTTTTTTTTTTTTTTAAAGAAATTTTGTTTTGCTTTTATTCCGTAACAGTGTTAGTATGTGACTGGAACATTGGTGATCTACTCTTTTGTGTATTTCTTGAAGTTCTTTGAGCAGGCCATATGGTTTTGAGTATTTTATTTTAAATTGTGGAAAATTAAGGTTTTCAGAGTACTGGACAATGTTTACACATATTATATTGTTCTGTTTTGCTACCAGGAAGGATATTAGACAATATGGTATTCATACATTTTATAAAATGATTTTGGCTACGGTGGCTTTGCACTAATGAAAATTCATGAGAAGGGAGTCTATGCTAAGAGGATTTACAAGTGTAAGAAGGATAAGCACAGAAGCAAATAAATTCTATTCTTACTGTACTCATTTGTGTCCAGGAAGGTAGCAATGAAATAACAGCTTGATTTTCTCTATTTTCTTAATGAAGATATATTTTTCTTTCAACTTTTAATAATTTTGCATTATATTTGTTTAATACAAAAATACAAGGAACCATAGGTCTAGTGCACTGTTTCCTACTTTACTAGTAGTTTTCAATCTATTATTGTATGGAAATTATTCATACTTATAGAATATGTGCTTGGCAGTTTAATAGTTAAGATAAGTTGTCCTACATTTTTTTGGAAATAAATTTGGACAGTTTTATTCAAAAGACAACTAATTTAGTTTTTTTTTAATTATTGTTATAAAGGTTACATATTGAGGGGTTAAGGGATAGTGTTTTCCTCCTATCTCTTTCCACAAATTGTATAGTTCATTTTCATCATAGTGTCTACTGAGTATCCCTGCTGCATTTGCTTACCCTTTGTCTCTATTTCGGGCTTCTGCTTACCCCCCAAAAGACAGATACAAGAGAAAAGAAAAAAATAAATAAAAACTGTTATTTCCATTTCTTTGAATTCATTTCAATAAATACTATTTTATGTGATCAGAGGCCCTCATTGCGCCTTTGTGCAAGTTTAGCTTTAACATAACTAAATTCAATGTGCAATGGAAATGAATATTTTAAAAATTGTGTTGATTTGTGTGTGCGTATATGTTTAGTTTTTGTCTCTTATTCCATGTTCTGAAGATTGACTTACAAGACAGAGATTAAATTTTTTTATTATGGAGGTTTAGGGTAATGGAAAGCTTAAGTTATAAAGTCTAGGTCCAAACTAATATGAACTGTTACTAGCTCTTGAATTTCTTTCTTATCCAGTGTTAGTTTTTACTTTCAAGATAAATACTATAAAACAAGAGAGTTCTTCTTTCTCCTACACAAATGAGTATTTTTATATGAAATGCAGTGTGAGATAGTTCTGTGCTTATAGCAGACTGACTGAACCATCTTCTGTCCAGAAAGGAATCCTTTACAACATAGACGGAGTTCCCAGGCCAAGCCATGGTTCTTCTGTACTGGAGTATCTTACCGTTGAATTAAGTAGAGATTAGTCAGACAAAATTTCATCACTGACATTTTCCAGTTTCCCAGTAGAATGTTAAGTCAGTATCATTCCAGCATATATTCTCTATTGCAAGTATATATTTATATATTCACAAATTCTTTCTGGTTAAGTTGTAAATCATTAACTGTTAGGTGATTAAGGTTGTAACATTTTTAAAATCCCAGGCTATTTTAAGATTGCTAAGCATTTGGACTCTAACTCTGGAGTCTTATAAGTGGTTATGTAATTAAAAAAATTATTCCTGCCCTCATGAAATTTCCTCAGTGAAATAACTGAGATTATTGAACAAAATAATCTCAAAGACAGCAAGTTGTGTGAAAGCTTTGTTCTGACAGTAAGGTAGTTTATTATATGCTATAGACTTTAGAACATTTCTTTCCATAGAAGCCTGTGAAATAGGTGGTAGTGTGAATTTTTTGTTTCCATAGACAAGGAAGCTAAGGCTGAAATGAAGCATTAAGTTTAATTATCCCAAAGCAAATAATTGAGATAACTAAGTCATTTGACTTTAGATCTTTAATGTGGTTACCTGCCAGAAAATGCAGGAGAGAGAGAGAGAGAGAGAGAAAGGTGTGTGTGTGTGTGTGTGTGTGTGTGTGTGTGTCTGTGTGTGTGTGTGTGTGTGTAAGTGTGTGTAAGTGTGTGTAAGATCTTGCTTGCTTTTTGCCCAGGGTGTCCTCAAACTGTAATCTTCCATTCTCCACCTCCAAAGTAACTTGGATTAAAGTTGCAAGCCACCATGCGTTGACTCGTTTTATTATATTTTCTGTTGGCATATTGTTTTAGAACAGCCATGAAAGGGCAAAAAAATAACAAGAAAACATTTAGGACTTAGGCAAATTACTTAATTTTATTGAAACATTTTTTGCCTGATTGATAATTTATTTTGGTTTGTCTTTGTTTTTTGTTAGGGGTGAAAGCTTGTTTACAAACAAAAGTATATGAAGAGGAAGAAATGTATGAAATTCCTGAAGGTCCACAGAGAAGCAGAATCAACAAAGAACTGCTGGTACTTTTTTTTCCATACAACTTTCTGTGGTTTTGTTATGACTTCATTCTGTGAACACCATCAGGGAAAACTTTGTCTGCCCTTCTTGCAAGTATAGGTGACTGATTAAAATTTTAATTATGCTTATTTCAAGCACTTGATTCTGAAAAATGATCACAATGTGCAGTAAAATCCAGAAGGCAATAATTTCCTACTGTTAATGGATTTTTGGCATCTTGAACATTCCCATAAACCTTTCAGAATCTGAGGTAAATCGCAGATGCAGGAAGGAGCTTGAAAGAAGACTTACAGCTGCTGCTCGGATTTAGTTACCATATGTCTTTATTGCCACATATTGCGTTTTTAATGGATAATATTCCATTATTCTGTTGATGCATATGAGTATATTAGAAATGACAAAAGAAAATTTTTCATGGGAGGAAATTGTGAAATTTTATATTTCCATGAAACATGCAGAAGCATTTTATGGCTAATTGGATCCCTAGCCATGACTTCATAAAGGATAGGCCCAGTAATGCATCTCTGGAACCCATAGGCCCTGCTCCCACTGTAGCTGTCCAGGGACCTTAGCTTGGTAGTATGTACTTGAGTGTGGGTGGTGTATGGAAATGATACTACTCTTGTAGCCTGGTCTTACTGACACATATATTTTATATTCTAGGAATCTTTGGGGCTTTCAGTTCCACCTAGTATGCATGCCTATCGTATTAAATGATGTTTGATGAAGTTCTTTGTTTTTCTTTTTAATACAAAGTATATTTAAATTTTTAGGAGAATAAAACGGAATAGAGATAGTGAATGAATCTAAGGAGGATACAAATATATGTAGACCTCATACTTTTATACACTTATTTTTTTGAGGGAAGCAGTAGTGGTCTTTGAACTTAGGGCCTTACTTGCTCACTTTGCTTGTTCAGGTGGTGTTCTACCCACTTGAGCCACACATTCGCCTGTATTTTTGCTGGTAATTTTGGAAAGAAAGTCTCAAACCAAGATCCTTTAGATCAGCCTCTTAAGTAGTAGAGAGAATTACAAACATGGCCACTACCATTCTTTCTTTCTTTCTTTATTTTTGTCGGTTGTGGGGCTTAAACTCTGGGCTTGGCCACTGTCCCTGTGCTCTTCAGCACAGGGTGAGCATTGTACTGCTTGAGCCACAGCATCACTTCTGTTTTTTTAGTGGTTTATTGGAAATAAGGGTCTCACAGACTTTCCTACCTGGGCTGGCTTTGAACCGTGATCCTCAGATCTCAGCCTCCTGAGTAGCTAGGATTACAGGCATGAGCCACCTATGCCTGGCTTGCTTTTTTTCTTAATCCAATTAGTTTGATTGAATTTGTACCAGCACCTGAAATAGCTTCTTAACTACCCAAGACTATTGTGTTTATGTTCTTCATTCATTTAAAATCTTCTTTCAATTAAAAAAAAATTTTGATCTACACTTAACAAATACTTTCTTATTTCAGTTGCCAAAGTTGTTTGATGGATGCTACTTCTATTTTTGGGGAACCTTCAAACATCATCCAAAAGACAACCTTACTAAGCTTGTCACTGCCGGAGGGGGCCAAATCCTCAGTAGAAAACCCAAACCAGACAGTGATGTGACTCAGACTATCAATACAGTCTCATACCACGCCAAACCCGATTCTGATCAGCGCTTCTGCACACAGTACATCGTCTATGAAGATTTGTCTGATTACTGCCCAGAAAGGGTTCGGCAGGGCAAAGTCTGGATGGCTCCTTCAAGTTGGCTTATAAGCTGTGTGATTTCCTTTGAGTTGCTTCCTCTTGACAGCTAGCTGAAACTTTCACCAGATACATTTCACACTGAATTCGCACAATTTGTGACAACCCAGTCACCGCACTATTCTTGATCATTCATACTTTATAGATAAGTAGATTAATGAACATTGTTCTTTGAATTAAAAAAAATCTTATGTCAGATTAGGAATTTTTTTACTGTATCTATGCGTGTTTTTAAGAACGTTGTGGTAGCTATAGGTCGATTTCCTGAAGTATTGCCCTTGCTTAGAAAGTGCAAGGTCCTGGGTTCAATCCCAACACCCTTTGTTTTTTCTTTTTAAAATTGCCCTTTTTTTAAAAAAAAATTATTCATTTATCTTTCTACTTCATTTATTAGTTATCAAAGATGAATGCAAATGTATCAGAATTATTAAATCTATAAGGTATCTCATTACTGCTTCAATCTTTTAATGTTCTTCTATGAAAAACCATCTTTGCTTGTCACTAGCAAAAATATTTGCCACTCTTTAGTAAACAGAGAATTTATGAAGTGATTTATTTTGACTTTATTGTGATGAAAAGAGAGTATTCTAACCGTGACACTATAGGTGTTAAATTCTATCTGCAGTTGTCTTTTTTTTTATTGCGTATACTATTTTATTTAGCTTTTTAAATTTTTTCTTTTAAAATTTTCTTGGATGTTTCTTCATTTTTGTCCTTTTTTAAAAAAATCTTGAATATTCTTAGAAAATCATGGTTCAAAGCATAATACCATTGTTTTGTGGTAAAAAAGAAGACAATATTAGGCTCATGGCACATATTTCTATTGTATAAATTTGCTTACTATCAGCTATTGATTTATGACTTTATCTACTATATAATGTGTATATCCTTAGAATATTTTAATACCAACATTTCTTACAAGGTTTTACCAGTATAGAACATTCTCTATCAAATTTCAATACATTAGGTTGGAAACAGTCTTTTTCTGTAGATCTTGCTAGGTTTTAGTAAAACAATTTTTGGAAAGTCTTAGTTTCTTGCTTTTCTTTTTTCTTTTTCTTTTTTTTTTTCTGAAGTACTGGGGATAAAATATAGAGACTTGCTTGTTTAAATAAGTGTTATACCACTGAGCTACACATCACCGTCTTTCAGTCTTCATTTAAGTTTTTAGGGTAGTATGTAAGCAGATGTTGATTACTTAATTTAGAACAGATTTTTCCCAGGTTCTCCAAAAGCATTAAATGTAGAGTAAGAATAATGAGCGTTTCCTGTACATATCCGAACACCCACAGGTCAAGTGGTAGACAGGGCACCACTGAATAGCCTGACTTGGGCGCTGACTTAGTCATAGTCAGGTCCAAGTGTTCTCACTGTGAATTGACAAGATGGATTCTATAATTTTAAAGTATTCTTAAGAAGCAAAATTCTTTCTTAAATCTTTCCTAGAAATTAAACATATTTATAATCTTACAGAATAGGAAAGGAGACACTAAAATACCTGCCAGTTTCATTCCTCAGCCAGTGAGGACAGTTTGATAACTTCCAGAATAGACACAGTATTTTTAAAAAACCGAGTCTGCAGTTAATTAATATTTTTAAGATCCACTTACTTTTGACATTCCGTGAGTCTGCTGTTGGAGGTTCTGCTGATCTTTTGAAAATGCATTTTACATCAGTGCCTTTTTGGACATAATACTATTTCATCTCAATATCTGAACAAAATAGTTTTCTGACCTTGCCCTTGTAGTGTGAATTTACTCTGAAACTCTACCATTATTAAGGTACCTGTTGCACATTTTATCCTCACGGAAATGATGAATGCCACTGTACCAAACAAATCTGATGGGTAAGATAATGTCTGGATTAAATAATTGAAGACTGGGATTTTGGTTGTAATTTTTTATTTATAACTGACTCCAGTAGCTTACTGCTGTCTCATAGGCCACATTCCTAGACAGATTTGTGTTTTGTTCTTCACTGTGACTCCTCAGGAAAACACAATTGGAGTTTCTGTGCATAGTCTGCGTTCACTTTCTTATCCCCCTTCCTCTCTGTGATTTTTATTTTCTTTCCCTACTCTTAAATGACAATATTTCTGATTTATTTAAATATTTATTTTAAAACAGCATGTGATTTATGTTAAGCTCTTGAAATGTGGTTACACTTTTTCTGTATGGAGATCTTTATAATTATTTTTGTTTTCAATTAGATTCTGGCTCCCTTTATATAATCATTAAAGTTAACTTATGTTTCCATGTTTCTGTGTCTTTTATAAAAGTGCCTTTTGCTGTGCATCAAAGAAAGCAATTCAGCATGATTTGTGAGGAAATCCTTCAACTCTCTTTTTGAACACTGAACAATTAACGTTCAATTTTGAGTAGAAATACTTTAAAGTATTTTAGATACTTTATTATATTAAATAAATTACTTAACTGTACTGTAACTGATAGCTTGGCATTATCAGGGAGAGCATCTATTACAGTGATCCTTTCTTGGTTCTATTGGAGTCCAAGGGTTGGCTGTTCCACTTTATTTCAGGTCTTGGTTCCTATTCTGTACAAGCTTGTAGCTTTTGCTATGCCCTCCACCCACCCCCCCCCCCCCCATCCCCTGGCCTGACTGCTTGCTGCTATGTTAGGATTTTTCTATTTCTACTAATACTTTATTATGTCTAATTTATTCTCTTTTTTTCTCTTGACCTTTCTAAAATATGGAAACCAGATAGAAAGTATGGAAGGATTATAAGTGAAAAAAAATAGTAAATGAGCACTATGGGAGGGTTTCAATCATGCACTTGAGTTTGATATTCAAATTTTTAGTGAGCATAATTTTCTGTACTCCTGCTTGGCAAATATGATAGTTAAGTGACTGCATAGATGAAGATTATATTTCAGAATGCTTGATATATCATGTGGGGATAAGAAGATTCAAGAGTGGGAGCTTCACATGAGGTTATTGTCTTTGTTATGGACTGGTATAAAAAAATAAGAATTATGTTTTAAAGGTTCATAGACTTTATCTGCTTGTCAAGCCAGAATAAACTAAAATGACAGGGAAAATCATTTATTTTTATAACAATCGCTATTTGAAATTGGATTAAACTACAAATTGATATGAGAGTTTATCCATCAACCTACTTCAAACTACCAAGTAAAAACAAGGCAGTTACTTAGTCGCGAGATCTAATTTTCTCTAGTTAACTAGTATATGTTAGCAGATCATGATGGTACACAGCTATAATCCCAGAACTGTGAAGGATGTGACAGGAGAATTAGAATTTGGGGGGCCAATTTTGGCTGGATAATGAGATCTAGGCTAGCCTGGGGATAGATCCTTTTATGAAAACAGAGAACAAATTGCTGGGCCCTGGTGGCTCACGCCTGTAATCCTAGCTACTCAGGAGGCTGAGATCTGAGGATCACGGTTCAAAGCCAGCCCGGGCAGGAGAGACCATGAGACTCCTATTCCAATAAACCACCAGAAAACCGGAAATGGCACTGTAGCTCACGTGGTAGAGCGCTCGCCTTGAGCTGAAGAGCTGAGGGACAGCACCCAGGCCCAGAGTTCAAGCCCCACGACCGACAAAAAAAAAAAAAAGAAAACAGAACAAATCCTCAACTGTCTTGTCTTATTAAGCTTGTAAATTAGGGTTTTTTGATTAAGCTATAGTTTCTTAAGGCGTAAATTACCTTTTCAGGTACTTTTCAATACCTGCAGGTTTCTGTTAGAGGTGATATTAGAGAAGAGGTGAAATCACTGGATTATTTGGATGTTGACCTGGCTTAAAGGGATACTGTCTTAATACTCAGCCTGTGAGGAGAGTCCTGCAGAGGTCTTGAGGTCCTTTAGATTAGTTTACTTATCATCCCTCCTCTGAATCTTCAGTTACAAAGTATGTGATATATGATTCTTTTATAAATGTCGTGTACTGAGCACGTGATAAATACATACAGGTTCACCCTCCAGGACTATTGCAAGTGAGTGGGCTCAGAGGTGTCTACAAGCAACTCTTCTCAGTTTGCAGGAATCCAGGCTGTTGTCACCCTCCTAGCTCTACTGCTGGCGTTTTAACGAGGACCTGGCATGTCTAATAAGTTTCTTGTCTGAGCTGTTTTCATCCTCTCTGCATTGGTCATCTGTGTAGCCTCTCGTACATTCTGTTAATATTTTGTTTAGTTTTCATTCCTGAATACATAAACTGTGGGTATCAAGACTGTTTGGGCCATGAAGTGATGTTCTGTAGGAAACCCTGGCCAAACCTTTGGTGTCACACCCCTTCTGGCCATCTTGATGAACCTTCCAGACCATGCTCTTGGGGTCACTGTAGTACACACCTCTGTAACAAAAATATGTGTTGATATCGTTTACTTTTGATTCAAATTTGTCAGGCTGTTATGTTTTTGTTACTAATTTTATAAATTTGTCAAAACACTCCCTGTTTGTCTACTAGCTAAAATAATGAGTTAAATGCTTTGTCATAAATTTTTGTCTTTTGAAATTCACTGATAGATATGCTTTATTTGAATTTTTAAGTACCTCTGTATATGAAAATACTGTGTAGTTAGCTGTAGAAACATTGCCAACTACAAAAGCCCCCTCCCCCAAAATAGTTCCAAAGACTGTTGACTAACAAACTTGTGTGTGGCTTTTATACTATTGCAGTTACTAAATGCCATTCAAAGGGCAAATATACTCACAATGCCAACCACTCTTCCTTTGCTCCTGTTCATTAGGTCTAAGAAACATTGGGTTCACCCACAACTCACAACTCAGGAATAAAACTGTTATTTAAGCATGCATACAATTCACCCTTAGGGCCGTAGGGGATTTATTCTAAGACTTTCCCGTAGTTACTAAAATCTGCATATTCTCCAGTACCTTATAAAAATGTAATAGCATTTGTACATAATTTGTGCACATCCTACCATATACTATACATATCTAAGATTACACAGTACCATTACAAATGCTATATAAATTGTAGTTGTACTGTTCAGGAATAATGGCAAGAGAAAGAAGTTAAATATTGAGTATAGATGTAATTTTTTCTGAATATTTTGGAGATATGCTGAATTGTTAATGGAGAAACAATATGGAGGATTGACTAGCTTTTGGAACTAAAGGTTTAATTTCCCATGTAGTTTACTTCCCCATGTTTTCCCATATAACGATACATAATTTCAAATAGTATCTCCTATCAATAGTATGTCATTGTTGGGGCTGGGAAGGTGGGCTCAGTGGTAAAGCGCTTGCCTTGCATGCCTGAGGCCATTATAAGTAAAAAATGTATAAATAATATGTGGTGGGGGAAGCAGAGATTCTTAAAAATATCAAGCTAAGTCAGATTCAGACTATAATAGTGTAGAATGTACATGTTACACATTTAAATTAAGATTTGTAGTTCCATTTAAAATATAAAAATTAGAAAATGACCTTACTTGATTGCTGTGATTTTTATGAGATAATGAGGTTCAGAACACTCTAGTCCTCCCAAGATAGAAACTCGCCAGGGGTGTGGCTGAGTGGATGGGAAGAATTCAGCCTTTGGTCATAACCTGAAATGCTTCTATGAGGAGTTCCTGGATTAGGATGAGGAAGAGGCCCATTGAGTTCCAGACGATCTGGAGCCCAACATCCTGCATCTCACTAATAGCAGGGCTTACACCAAATGCATGTGTTCTTTTCCTTGTGTCATGCCACCTCCCAGGGTACCTTGCATCTTCTTTCGTCCATCAGTGCATTTGTTATTCATGGGACTGATCTGATCTGATGCATACTTATATGATCTTACTGGACTGGTCTGGGACAGTGAGGAAGGAAGAGGGTATTCCACATTTATGCCTCAATTGCTATCTCAATAGACAATACCTATTACTATGCTTTGATTTTTGAGAACAAAATGGACCTTAAACTATTTCTCATCTTGTGTCAGATAACCACAACTAACTCATCAAGTTGGTTTGCCAGCTGAAACTTACCATCACTAAGCTAAATAAGCCATATTTAAAACAGAACCAAATTGATAAGATATCCAATAATCAGTCCTGTGGCTCAGCACAAAGTGACTCAGTTGGGGGCCATAGTTCCATAATTGAATGTAGGAGGGGTAACAGACACCCTCAAAGGCTAAGAGAAGGAACATGGGAATAAAAGATATGATTTGGAGACATCTCTAGGTCTACTTCCCACAGTTACAGGTCATTGCTTTAGCATTATTTATTACCAGAACTACCTCTGTGTCATGATCATACCATTTAGGAACTATAGTTTTGATGGGAGCAACTGATGTGTGTGTGTGTTTCACTGAATGGAACTGTGTGTATCTGGCTCCATGTTTTTTTACTAATGGAACCATATGTATGTATCTGATTCCCCAAGACACAGGATTCTAAGCTAATGTATATGAAATTTGCAATAGAATATGATGATTTGCTTTAAGGTCATTGCTATTCTCATTCTAATAATCATTTCCTTTATTGTATGAATGCAGAAGCTCTGACACTTGGTGGTAAATTCAAATTACTTTCCTGCTTGTGGAGTAATGATTAACCCAGTAGATGTTTAATTTATATTAAAAGAGAATTAAAATTCTGGAAAGTGAATGAAGTCTAGAGATTTCTCTCTATTGACCTTTCTTTGGCAGATATGTGACAGAAGGCGTAAAGAGCAGGCAATTGACTTTTTCAGTAAGCACCCTCATACATAGTGCTAGGCAGAGATTCACATGCAGTTATACATATGCATTTTATTCTTTACCATTAAGAAAAAGGTTTAGTTGTCAGTGTCTAAAAGAAACTGTGCAAGAGTCTGACATTCTCTGAGTAATCGGTACATTGACTCATTGAATATTTATTGAGAAGGTAGTGGATATCACACTTTGAATAAGACCTGACCATGGTCCACAAGTTGCTCAGTGCATTTCAATAGGTATTGTTTTTGGCCAAGCAGGGCTCAGTTATCCTGTCCAGGAGGAATGTTTCCTTGGAGCCCTGTGTACCAATGGGCCTGGCAAAGTCAAGATAACCAGTCTTTCTACCCATGACTCCCTCGGTAAAAGAACCAGTGTTGCTCTGGACAAAAGTATTTGGGGGGAAAAGCATCTAAGACTTACCTTAGACACAGATAAATTAATAATCACCATGATAGATACTAAACATTTTTTAATTCCCCTTGAGTAATATTTCTAGTCTTTTTGCAGAAGAGAATAACATTCTGTCAATATTTTACCAGAGGTTTTTTTAATTTTAATTAGGAA